TCATTGGTAGAGTAAGCTTTTTGACAAAAGCTGGAGGAAGAAAACCATTGTGGAGAAAAAAAATCTCTCTCTCAACCACTCATACACACACACACACACACACACACACACACTGCCATAAACCAAAGCCACAGAATGATCTTTAAGAAAGGACAATTTATGGTAAATGCCAACATTTACATGGCAAAAGGAAGCAAGCGTCATACCTCCTTCCCCTATTCAAAATTGCTTTTTATTTTCAGCAAACTCAGAGTAGGAGATAGCAGGTTTTCTCCTACTTCGAGTGGTATGATTTGGATAGCCTGGGACCTAGAACACCCCAGCAGCCTGGGACCTCACAGAATGGGGAGGCCCATTCTCCAGGCACCTGGCTGCCAACACGTGCAACCCAGTTGAGGACTTTCACGCTCACACCCAGGGGCCCTAATGTGTCAGAGAAATGGAACAGTTTTGCCTTCTTCTTGCACAGGAGGAACTGCATCTCCAAGGCAGCCGGATTCACATGTAAGATTGTGGAAGGGGCCAAGAAGGTGCTGTCATCTTAGAAGAAAATTGTGCTTTTATGTTCTGCCGTCTTTTGAAATCCAGCTCCTGCTCGTAAATCGCCGTGTAGCCATGTCAAGGATTATGGAGGGTTTTTCTATGTATGTGTGTATATGTACATTGTTGCTCCTGATGACTCAAGCAGCGGTGCTAGCGGGGAAGCTTGGTCCACCTCGCACAGCGCTTAACAAGAGTCCTGACAACAGCAATATGTTACCACTTTTGTTTGTACTGCATCTTCACACCCACTCACTCAGTAACAGACTGAATGAAATGTGCTCCGGTGCTTTGTGTGGGAGAAAAAGAATGAAAATAATGGCCATTCAGGCAAAATAAGGCTTTTTGGTGCTTTTCAGAAGGCAGTCTTGTTTTCATTGTTGTCCCTGTGTTCACATAATGGCCTTATCCTTGTCTTTCATTGAAACACGCCCAAAGCAAGGAAAACATTTCACCCTGAACACAGAAGAATGCAGGCTCTTAAAGTGAGCAGCAGGGAAGATATGGGCTGGGAGGATGCTGGACCAGGTGTCTACAGGGCTCCCTGCTCAGAACAAGTTGATGGGCAGGTGACTATGGATGGGAAAGGGGCTTGCTGGAAACCAGCTCTGCTCTATCTGGCAAGGCCTTAAGAAGGGGAAAACATGATCATCACCATCATTGTGCACATGCACTGGGCACTTACCATGCACCAGGCATGGGACAGGGTGTCTCTTAGGCGTCATATAATCTGTTCCAAACCCTCTCAGGAGGATATCATTATTATCCCCATTTTAGAAATGAGGAACCCAAAATCTAGAGAGGTTAAGTAACCTCCTCAGGAGTCATGTGGAGTCAAGATTTGAATCAGGTACCATCTGACCCCCCACTTAAACATCACACCAGCATCTTAAACACTACCTTAAGATCCTCAGAATCAAACCTCCCATGCTTCCAAATTAGAGGGTCGTGGATGAGGAGGGGAATTTCAGGGAGGGATACTTTGAGAACTATTCCAAAGAGGGTTGTTCTAAGTTCCCTTTCTGGCTCATCTTTAGGATAGAGGAGCTGCATGTTATATTGACCCTAAACATGTGAGAGGCAGGATGAGGGAGGGCGTCAGCCTGGATTCAGATCTGGATGTCCTGGGACCAACTCCATGAACATGGACTGTCCATTCTCCTCCCTGGGATTTGACAGCCTGTGCTTTAGCTATACCCCCATGCTTGTTAAAATGACCACAGGGCTGGAAAACTGTCTGTGGTTTCCCTGCTCCTGCATCTTTCCAGGGAGCTCTCTTCATGAGGACGTCTCATTAGTTGCTCATTGCTGTTTCTCTCAATGACAGGAAACCCACTGGAGCCACAAGGGCCTTTGAGACGTACCTCACTAGCCCTGAAGAGATTCTTCCCTTTGTGTGCAAGATGCCTCCTCCTCTATCCTCAGGCCGTCCACATCCCACCAACCCTGATAGGTCCAGTTGAAATCCCACCTCCTCAACAAGACCATCCTTGTGTACATGTTTCTTCCCGGCTCCACATTCGGAGACATCACAATGGGAGCTTGAAATCAATCACTGTAGGGATATTTACACCACAGAAATTGGCAAACATTGCAAATCAGACTCTTGTTTTTGCTGTTGTTTTGTAAGCTGGTTTATCAGCACGTCACTGCTCATACCTAATGCCCCACCACTCGTTTGGCCCCAACAATTAAAACCGTACTTTGGCCGTGTTTTATGATGTGCCCATGCTTGTCTCTCAGTGGAGACTGTAGGAGGATCATCAAATTATTTGTATCTCCACAGCATCATCATGGTACCTTGTAAATAGCAAGTATTGTCCCCTGTCTGTGTCTGTCAGTGTTGTCCATTTCATTTATTAATATTTAGGGTGTACTTTTTCCCTAAAAATCTTCAGATGATATCCAACTGGCTACAAGTGAATGTCTCAAAGAGCTAATTGTCTATCATTCCTTTCTTCATTCATTCAACCATTTATTTATACCAGTGAGCATTTGCTATGTGCCAGGCATTAGTTCAAAGGCAAGAGTACTCAGAGGTAATTAAAACATAGGAGGTCTCCACCCTAGGGTAGCTCACATTCTAGTCAGGAGAGACAGAAAATAAACAAGTAAACAAATCCACAAAATTAGAAACTGTCTTATAGCAGCAAAGGATACAAAAAGAAGAACCCAGGAGGATGGAATAGAGGAGCTGGGGCATGGGTGGGGCATAGTCCCAGGTTGGGATGTATATTCATTTCCTATTGCTGCCATAACAAATAACTACAAATGTTTTGGCTTAGAACAATATGAATGTATTCTATCATGGTTCTAGAGGTCACAAGTCTAAAATGGGTTGTGATATGGTTTGGATTTATGTCCCAGTCCAAATCTCATGCTGAATGATAACCCCCAGTGTTGGAGGAGGGGCCTAGTGGGAGGTGATTGGATTATGAGTGGATTTCCCCCTTGCTATTCTCATGATAGTGAGTGAGTTCTCATGAGATCTGGTTGTTTAAAAGTGTGTGGCATCTTCCCCTTTGCTTGCTCTCTCTCTCCTGCTGCACCATGTAAGACGTACCTGCTTCCTCTTCACCTTTTGCCATGATTGTAAGTTTCCTGGGGCCTCCCCAGCCATGCTTCCTGTACAGCCTGTGGAACCATGAGCCAATTAAACCTCTTTTCTTTATAAATTACCCAGTCTTAGGTAGTTCTTTGTAGCAAGGTGAGAATGGACTAACACAGGTTGGAGGCCTACATTCCTTCTGGAGACTTCAGGGAAGAATCATATCTTGGGCTTTTCCAGCTCCTGGAAGCCGCCTGCATTCCTTGGCTTGTGGTCCTGCATCTCTCCAATTTCTTCTTCTGTCATCACACCTCCCTCTCTGACTCTGACTCCTCTTCCTCCATCTTTTTCCCTTATGAGGACTCTTGTGATCCTATGGGGTCCACATGGATAACCCAGGATCATCGCCCCATCTCAAAATACTTCCTCATTTGAGTCTCTTTTGCCATGTAAGGTAGCATATTCACAGGTTCCAGGGATTAGGAGGCGACATCATTGGAGGTCATTATTCTTCCTACCACAGGAGGTGAGGGAAGTCCTCTCCCAGGAGGTGGCACTTGAGAGGAGACCCACATGACAAAAACAGATGAGGGGGACAGGCTGCAAAGATCCTGGACCTGGCACAAGCCTGCAGATTCTGAGGAACATGCCAGCATGATTGAAGTGAGCAGCCAGGGGAGGCTGGAGGGGGAGGAAGGGCCCAGGTCCCTCCGCATTGCGGGAGCCAGAGGAGGAGCGTGGATTTCATTCTGAGTGCAATGGAACATGGGCAGAGGGCTGGAGAGTTGTGTTTTCACTGGGCTAACTTGTATGTGGATGAAGACAGCTTCTCTGGCAGTTGTCTAGAGCAGTGCTGTCTGGTAGAAATACAATGTAATCACATTTGTCAGTTTAGATATTCTAGTAGCCACATGTTAAGAAGTAAAAGGAAACAGCTGAAATTAACCTTAATAAAACATTTTCTCTTTACCCAATATATCCAAAGTGTTATCATTTCAATGCGGTATCAATATGGAAAACTTATTAATAAGATATTTTATATTCATTTTTGTACCATATCTTCAATATCTAGTGTGGGTTTTATGCTTAAAGCATACCTCAATTTGGACTGGCCATATTTCAAGTGCTCGACAGCTATATATATATACCGTGTGATTGGTGGCTACCATTTTGGATAGTACATGTGTAGGCACTTTTCTCAGAATCCTGTGCAAAGTCTACTCAGGCGGTGTTTAGAAAAGCAATGAACAGTGCAGCGTCACGGAACATATGAGCCACCTGTCACTTCCATCAGCTATCCCCAATGCCAGAGGTTCTGTGTAGGCCACAGGAAGTAGGAGATGGAACAGGAGATTCTAGAAAGGATGTGTCCTCTGGTGAAACTGGTGAGGTTCAGGCACAGACTCCGATTAGACTTTTGCCTGGCTGCAACCTCTGAGAAACACCCTGTCTCTGTTTATTTCATAGATCTCTAAGTTCACCTCTGCATTCATCCTTACACCTTTAATCCTCAGCCAAAGCCAGATTTTTTTCCCATTTCTTTATGGACAGGGCCATTTATTCAACTCATTATACCAATATTACTGAAAACAAGGGCAGAGGTTAAGAACAGGAAAAATTCAATGAAGCAATGAGAGGGTATCAATTGCTAGGACAAGAAGTATATTCCAGGCACTTTTAAGCTATACCCATGCTCTGTTGAGCTCTCGCTGTGACCCTGATATTAACCATAAAAGTATAGTCCAAAAAGCTTAGTACCAAAAGAGCATCATATATATCCATTGAGATTTTTACAGTGATATTAAAAGGGGTTATGAAACAGAAAATAAAGATCTGAATTAAACATTTAGGTCGTGGTGGTTTTGCATAAAGTCTAGTGTATGAGAAGCATATTCAATACTGCACAAGACAATAAAAATAATAGCAATGTTTATTAGAATATCCTATTTAGAATCAGCAATCTGTGCAACATACTCAGCTTTTAGGAGACGGGCTGGCCCCGAGTTTCTTTCCAGTGATGGATTTGGGGGGCTGACATCTTGACCCTGTCATCCAGCCTGTGGGTACCATCAAAAGGCAGCTTGACCATTTTTGATATGTAGTGACAAAAGCTCTAATGTGTGAGGACAAAGGTGCCTTCTGTGAGTGCTTTGGGGCTTTAGCGCTTCAGTCAAATTACCAGTGGCTCTAATTAGTGTTCCTGAAATCTGGAGCAATCTATATCTGCATTCCAAAAAGGGGTGGAATGTTTCCCTCTGATAACACATTAGTATGAGTCCTTCCTAGATGAGTTTTGTGAAATTATAAGGGCATGATAGTGTGGAGGAGAAGCAGTTACAATAGAGAAACCTGTTGCTTTGAAAATCAGCAGTGATCTTGCAATCAGCTGATTAATAAATATTTATACAGTACCTATCAAGTGCCACACTCTGAAAAAAATAAGTATGCAATGATAAATCACAGTATGGGCACCAGTGTGGTTCTGACCTGGGAGTGAGTAGACCTGAGCCCTGCCAGCCACTTACAGTTGCTGCTATCTTGGTTTAATCATTGTATAGCAGAGACATTAGCTATTGTCTCAAGGAAGATTCATTTCCCTAGGACAAGTTACTTTACCTCCCTGGACCTCAAGATTAACAGGGTCTGAAGGGATCATGCTGCTGGTGGTAATAAAAATAGCTTCATGGCTGGGCACAGTGGCTCACGCCTGTAATCCCAGCACTTTGGGAGCCTGAGGCGGGCAGATCACAAGGTCAGGAGATCGAGACCATCCTAGCTAACACTGTAAAACCCCGTCTCTACTAAAAATACAGAAAATTAGCTGGGCGTGGTGGTGGGCGGCGCCTGTAGTTCCAGCTACTCGGGAGGCTGAGGCAGGAGAATGGCGTGAATCTGGGAGGCGGAGCTTGCAGTGAGCCGAGATTGCACCACTGCACTGCAGCCTGGGCCACAGAGTGAGACTCCATCTCAAACAAACAAAAAAAAATAGCTTCACATACTGAGGTGTATAATTGTGCTAAGTACTTCATGTAAATTAACTCATATATTTCTCAAGCAGACTCAACTAGGCGATGGGTTCTGTTAGTCCCAATTTATAGATGAGAAAGCTGAGATTTAGGTTGTGTGACTTACCTGAAATCCAAGAACACCGACTAATACCAGAGCTGAGATTCAGTATCAAGTCTTAGAGCCTGTAAAGCTTGCAGTCGACACCCCCGGAAACCCATCCCAGCTGTCACATTCTGTAGATCTGGGGACCTTAAAGAATCATCAGAAGATTGCTTGGGGGAATGAAAAGGTTGAAAACTGATGGGGGAAACCATATTTCAGGGAAATAAGGACGAGGCATTAGCAGAGCTTCAGAGAGGAGAAACATACCATCGTCTGTGGCTCAGAGAATTCAGAACCTAACTACATCACAATACCATGATGCTGAAATGCAGTGTCTCTTTCTGGGACACACACTGATAAATCAATGCTGAGATCTCAATTTGTGTTAACGTAGTGATGGTCATTCAGCAAATGAGCCTTCACATAGCAGGCAGTGCCACCCGGAAAGGCACTTCAAGGTTGCTGTATGACAAGTAGTCTCACCTTCTCAACCTTTTCATTTTATACCAGTGTCAGCCACAGCTGGGGGAGCTGTGAATTTCACTTTAACTATAATATTTAGTGAGGACACACACACACACACACAGTGGCACCCACAAAGTCTTCACTTTGAAACAAGAGTGGGTTTGGTTTCCTTCGCTTACACAACTGATGCCTCCCAGGGATACTTTTGTTTAGATGGCTCATTGGCCACAAACCGTTTCATTATGTGTTGCCCAGTTACCTTGGCTTCCTGCACATTCTTTTGAGCAGATAGTTCATCTCCTTATCTCAGAGAATTGTTTCCCCAAGTGTAGCCCTGGAGTCAATAGCTTTGATACCATCGAGGCAAGAAGGCATTAAACCACCTTTTTTTGTAATTGTCTTAGTCTTACTTTTTCATGTCTGTTTCATGAAAAGATGATGTGGTTAGATTTAAACTGGGCCTTGCTAAGGGTGTCATCTGTGCCTGGGGTTACCCACATCATCACGTGGCTTACCTTCCTTTGCAGTATGGTGATCTTATCTTCTTTGCTGCTTCTTGCCATAGAGCAACCAGCTCCTTCCAGCTCCTGTGTGTGCGTGCGTGCACACAAGTGTGCATTCAACATACGTGGAGGTTTGCTCATGGCAGCAGCTTGTAAAATGACACTTTACCGTTCAGTATGGAAACTGACTGGTTGAGGGCCTTTTCTATACTCTTAGGGGCAAAAAACAAACAAACAAACCAACAACCTCCTTCATTGGCTTTTCCATTTGAGAACTTGGAGCAAAGTTTTCCTTAAGTAGATGCATTTTTGTGTAGCTTAAGGTAGTAATTCTTTTGTTCCCTCTGTGTCCCAGTCACTGAGCTGACAACCCAGGGTACAAAGATAAATATGACTGAGTCACTGTCCTTCAGAGAGCCTGAGGACAGTCATAGGAGAAAACATGTTAACAAATAGCTAGCATTCAACTTAGGAAGGGCAGAGAGGTGCCCGGAACAGAGTTCTCTGGGAAGACAAGTGACAGGACTAGGAGAGAAGAGCCAGAGGAGGCTATGAAAAGGAGCAGGCATTTAAACTCCATCCTCAAAGTCAAGTGCAGGTTTGCCAGTTAAAGAGGGGAAGATATTCCTGGTGGAGAGAGTAACAAAAAAAAGTAAATGAAGATGTGAAAGTGTGGGCTGTGTTTCGTGTGCCCTGAGCCGAGGTGTATCAGGGTGAGGCTGTAGAAAGATGGGCCAGCCCAGCTGAGGAAGGACTTTGTGCATTATCCTGAGATGTTTAGCATTCAGGGTATGCTTTAAGGTTTAATCCAACAAGTGCACCAGAGATCCAGGAAAAGCAAAAAGAGACATTCATGGACCTTGCCAAAATGGAGAACTTTGCCTTCCCCAGCAAGACAGGGCTGTGCCAGCCAGTCTATCCCTGGTTCTGACTCAGCCTTTGTCTTTCTTTTCATCAGTCATTTAACCCTCCGAGAACCTGGCTTGCCATGGTCAGAGTGTGAATCTTGAAAGCGTCCTTGACCCCTCCTGACAACTGTAAAGTTGTGGGAAGAATTACTGTTGTATCTCATCTGGCCCTTGGGCAGCTAGTGGGCATTTGACCGTGACACATGTAACAGGAACAGTTGGTTTGTGTGGCTGCAGCGGCCACATCACGGGGAGACGGAAAGAGCTCTACGCCTGTTAGAAAGGGCCTTGGGGACCGTGTGGGCTCTACCACTGTCATACTGAATGGCCTTGGACAAGTTATTTCTCTCCAGTCTCCAATGTCCTTACCTGTAAAAGGAGAGACCTGGACTTTGTGGCTACTAAGAGGCCTTTTCTCCCTTCTACCCTGTCTGATTCTGCCTTGACTCTTTAATGTTTAGGAAGTTAGAGTGGAGAAGACTGACCAGGGATCATCTCTACTTAACATGGGGACTCTGAGATTTGTGCATGTTTGTGCTTCGAGCAAGGAATAAACAAATCACCAAGTGGCCCAGCGAGGTCCTTCCTTCTTCCATTTCCTTGCAGCAGAACAGCACGGGGAGGGAGAGAGGCAGAACCCAGCTTCCGGACTGAGTAGATCTTGGGTTTGGACGTTTGGAGAATTACCTTAGGAATGGAGCGTTGTGAGGGGTGCGGTGGGTGAATGAGAAAGGTAGACAGAGAAAGAGCTGCTGCAGGATGCAGTGAAAGAACCCACATTTCAGGCCAGCTGTTCCACCACCCACTCTCTCTCAGCCGACGTGGCGGGCCGGCACTCACTGCCTATCCACTTAAAGCTTCCTGGGCTGCATGTCTTCTTCATCCACCTGATCTTCTACTTTGAAGGCTGAGAACTTTCAGCTCATATGGATGGAGGACTTCTTAGAGCTCCTCTGCCCCAGGCACCAGTTTGGGTTTGGGAGGGGGTGATCATGACAGCCCAGGACCTGTGTGGAGGGTGGGGAGAGGGATGGACAGCAGCACAGGGCATCCATTCAGATAGAAGGAGCAGTGAAGAGGGCTGGGTCAAGAGCATGGGTTTTGACATCATAAGATCTGCAGTCCAGTGCTCACCACTGACCGCTGACTCCCTGTAGAGCCTTCCGAAGCTGCTTCATCTCTACAGGCCTGAAAATGGAAAGTGCAAGTAATGAAACTTCATGTAGGACTCTTGTGAGAAGTAACTCAGAAACAATGCTTAACAGTGTATCTGATGTGTACTAAGTGGCCCATAAATCATAAATGGTGGCTTTAAAAATATCTATTATGATTAATGCATTGAAAAGTAAATGAGAGTCAAGATGTAGAAGTTTCTGTTTGCCTAGACTAGGTGTTTGGACTTTATCCTGCAGCCCATAGGCAGCCAAGGAAGATATTCTGGCAGGGATGACATTAAAGAAATTGCTGTTTGGGGAAATCTTCACCTGTCATTAGTTTGGGGAGAACGGAGGAATGTTGGCAAAGAGGCTGTCAGTATCCAAGCAAAGTGGACGAGGGCCCTGGGGTGATGGAGAAGGGAAGGGGGTGGAAAACACAAATTAATGAACTTTAGAAAGGAAGATGGCTGAGGAGTAAGGGGTGGGTCAGCTTGGCAACCACAGAGAAGGAAGGAGGCGTTAAAGATAGTTTTGAGAAGGCGTCCGTGATGGCATTGACCCAAACTGCAGTGCAAGAGGAGGAGAGACAGTGCTCTTCTCTCTCCTGGGGGAGGGCTACCATCTGGGATCACTGGACCCAGGTCCCGCACCCCCAAGGGCACTGCTTGGCACATTGATTCATTTGTATCCTTTTCTCAAAAAGGTTTGAGGCGGTTTTACACCAGATACAGTGGATGGTTTCTACTTTCTTCACAAGTGACAATGAGCTGAAACTGTGACAACCAAAAAAAAAGGAGATAAAGGGCAGAGCACATCATAACGGGGAGGAGAGAACGAGGGCAGAAAATGGACTGACCGGGTGTGGAGGGATGCTTGTTCCACCCGTCCACTCGTGGCCTTCGAATGATTCCATCATTTCTAATCCACTCCGTTTGTGAGGGAGGAATCCCTCCCAGGAAAGACAGAAAAACCTGGTCTTTCTCAACAGCATTTTTACTCTTCCTTTCCTGTGCAATGTCAGAAGCAATGGCAGGGGCCTCCTTCTCCAGAACCAATACAACCTCCAAGAAAGGAGAGAGAGAGAAAGGGAGAGAGAAAGCAAGAAAGAGCCACAGAAAGGGAGAGAGAGACAGAGAGAACCCATTGCCAGTAGGCATTGCCAGGCGAGCCTTCTGGTTGGATGGCGGCGTCCACGGCAGCCACAGGACGATCCAACTTGTGGCTTTGCTTCCTCTCTTTCTCTTTGGTAGCACACAATCACTCAGCCCTAGATTCCTCTGTGTTTCATACCCAGGAGGTCGGGGAGGGCACCTTGTAGTGTCTGAGGTCCCGAGAGGGTTCACAGCCACCTGAGAAGTGTTGGCGGTCTCTGGGCATGTGTTCTTTCTCCAAGCTGGGTCAGCTGTGGGATGGCGTGGAGAGAAAATAAGAAAAAGTGGTTTCCCTCAGCTCTCTGCTGAAAAAATGCTCACGGGAGTCAGTCAACATTTGGTAAGTACGCTGAACGTTTTTACTTTCAATGCCTAAATTTCTCTGGCTTCCGTAAGGTATCGTTGTCGAGGAAGGAGGTGGTATTGTCGCTACCCTCCCTCCCTGTGTGGTGTGACAGCAGAGATAGTTATCTCTACACCCAACTCAGTGTTGCTTTTTTTGGGTAACAACTTTCGAAAAACTATCACCTGGGCTCCAGCTAGTCAGGCTTCAATGGCAGTTGCCACAGTGCCAGGCAGGATGCTTTGTCAGGCAGGCTGCTGGGCCACGGAGACAGGATTGGAGGGATAATGAAGGCATCCTCCCCTTGTCATAAACCAGAAGCTAAGCCCCCCATTCCTGGGATGTCCAGAGAGACTGGGTAAGAAGATGTGCTGTGAACACAGAGCGCATTCCCTCCTCTCCTCCTCCAGCCTAGCAGTGGCAGGGCACACGCAGGGTCCCTCTCTGGAGGGAAAAGGCAGCTAGGCAAACATCTCAGTCTCTTGATCCTCTTCTAAATGGGACTCCTGAGGTCCAGAGTACTGAACTAACTTTCCCAGAGCCACACCTCTGCTGGTGAGTGGGGACAGGGTTCTATGTGCCATGGTTGCAAATCCATTGTCCGGAGACTTCTGGTTAAGGGCAAAAGGCCTGGCTTCGCAGTCACGGATCAAATCCTGCCTGAGAACCTGGGGAATTTCGCCTTCACCCGGCCCCATGGTGAGCTCTCAGTCTCCACCAGGTCTGTGCCAGAGCCCTCTGGGGCAGGTACAGAGGACACTGGCTGAGAGGACCAGGCACCAGAGGAACAGACATCCTTTCTTTCCCTCTGTTGAGCCCTCCGAGTCAAAAGTGGACTA